CGGGTTTATATGAGGGTTAAAATAAAGGCAACTGTAGGGAAATGTTCACAAAATACACTCTGTTTTATGACTGAGTAACCCGGGGAATTCGAGATCATAGTATCACATTCAAGAATAAAAACACTCATATAACAATGTCCTACTCGATGCAACTGCTTCACGACAAACAGCTATGTGCCTGTAACTCGCGTATATTGCTTCCTGGTTGCTCGTGACAAGCTGCGACAAGGTAATTAAGGGCTTATTCTGAAATTATGTGAATGTGAAAGTAACTCAAGTCATATCTTAGAATGGATATTTTTTACCCTTTTCGCGAAAACCTGGTGTCATCACTGTATTTGTGTGATATCCTTTCATTTTATATACACCTTTATTTCGAGCTTTGCACCCAGTGGAATGATCCAAACTTGGTTTTATCTGGCGTTGACGTTTTATATTTATTAAAATTTCCCCTCTCAGCAGTTCACAGTCGATGCATTTAGTTGTTTGCCTAAAAACAAACATTATTTACAGATGAATGAGAAATTGATTTGACCAAAAATTACAAACGTTATGAAAACGTTACTAGGCTGAAAACATCACAGAACATACTGCACACTTGAGGTCCAAAACACAACTATGATACCTGTATCAAACACATCATCATCGAATAACCATTTTTTGTTTGTTTCATTTTTAGCCGCCATCAAACATGGGTGTATACATTAATTTGCCCGGTAGTAAGCGCATAGAACAATTGATTATTATGGCTTCCAGTAAATATATACATGTTCAATGATCAATTATAGAAGTTAATTATGTACAGTATTATGACACTAGCGTGTTATGCATAGGCACGTTTGATTTGAGTCTTCGACTCGAAAACTTTACCATGTAGATTAGACATGATTCAAACACGATTCAAAGCAATGTGCCAAATACACCGGGTCATTAATTATTGTGATATCAATTTTCGCCATTTATCCTTTACCTTTTTACATATCGACAAGCTCTAAACAGGTCGTAGCATTCGCCAGCACAGAATACAATGTTGCATTCACTCTGACTTTTAACGAGGTTTCATGGATGAATACACACGTTCATGTAGGTGTAGGAGAAACGTATTTTGAAAGTGTCGTGGAAGGGCTCACTGGGTTTTCAAAGGAGCATTCTCACTGTTATGTTAATACACATGAACCGTACCAAATACAGGCCACTAGGTACATTGCACACATACATGGTCCCAGCGTCTCCCTGTAATAGTTATGGGACAATTAAAATATTGTAGTTATGGCAAATGAGATCTGTCCATATTGTGAAAAGGTATTACATATATACATGCAATAATAGGTTTGTAAGAAAACAGCAAGACATTAACTACCATGGGAAGACACATCTGCTCCTTTGACACATGGAAGCACATTTAACAGAAACTTTGTTTGTAGCTTCACAATCCAAATGAAGTTGTTGAACAATTAGTCAACAATAAAACTTGGTGACAAAATAACACCAAGGCTAAGCATTGATAATACACTTGTGCGGATTTCCATAAAGAACAAGGTCGTATCTAGTATCGTATAAAATAGATATGACAGATCATAGACGTGTTTGGAAGTATCCTGCGTTCTAGTTCCCCTTCCCTGAAACTGCATTGGCAGTGAAGTTAATGTCCAATCTGGTCTAAGTCTATGCATTATTAAAAACCAGGACATATCGAATGACGGGGTCACGGGTGGCCCAGTCGTCTGAGGCGCCGCGATTCACTGTGCAGAGTTGCGTCACTTGAAACCTATGGTTGTGGGTTCGAATCCCGGTTCGCCCCGATTATGTTTCTAGGTTTGTCAGCAACATACCCGTGCTCGTGGGTTTCACCGAAGTGGTAAACGTCTTAGACCTGCATCACTTCAGGCTTTCCTCCCACATTAAGCTGACACGTCTTGATATAGCTGGAATACTGTAAAAAGCGGCGTAAAACCCAACCCACTCACTCACTCACTCACTCACTCATATCGACCGACTGTCCTGCCAACGTTAACCCATCTTCATAATACAATTAGAGCATTACAATATCACGTATGACAACTATTTCCAGTCTACAAATATGAGCGTTGTGAACAATATGTGAAATATACTTTTATATGTGATGCATCTGTCTCGAAAGTATTTGGTAATACAGGAAATAGCATTTTTGTACACCCGTGCTAATACAGCCTTAAATATAGGATAGTTCAGTATTCAAACAAGGATTTGTACATAAAATGGTTATTAGAGTTGGCACATAGTAGCACTATTATGCTTGACACGACTAGTAAAAACACCGATAATGTGCATATAATGCGCCAAAACCACACCCTCAAGCATGCTCAAAGCCTTTACCCCGATGAACGGATGTGTGCACTCGATATTCATTCTCCTCTCCCGGGGGACTATACAACCCAAGCTGCCCGTGAGGCGCTAGAATGTTAACAGACATGCTACCGGGTACCCAGTCACTGCTGGGTGAACGGAGACACTTTTCGAATAAAGAAGACACCCCATGTGCTAAGTGTGAGGCAGGACTGAAGCCCCACACATTCTCAGGGGTCAACCTACCGGACGCGGTCATCCACCCGACTGCTACATCGTTGTTTGACTTCACGCAATTTGTGACCTTTGCGCTGCACACAGGACCACATGACCACGCGATTGCACTGGCATTTTCAAACATCTGAGAAAAAACATGAATACTGCTCAATAGACAGCTTTTCACCGTTAAATATGATTTATAATAATGTTATTCTTTGTTTTTGTTTTTGCTTTTGTTTTTACATTTCCAGTTCCTGTACAATTTCAGCATTGTTATGATTATGTTTTAGTTTTTAAACTATAAATAACAGTGTGACTGGAATTTATCAAACTGATATATTTATTTAATATATTATTTAATTTTATTTAAGAGTCTGACCACCATGCGGACAGTGGTGCAATACTTAATTTACGGGTAGATGTAACTTTGTCACAGTCGATGTAAATGCTTCAACGCACACTATTCAGGCGTGTGTATGCCTCGCCTATTTTCTTCCTGGTTGATCATGGCAAGGTTATTGTGCATGCCTCGCCTTCACACATAAGGAGTATCTGACTGCAAAGTGCACGTTTATAGGGTCGTAAAACCAGTCTTGTCACGGTCTAGTGACCGCACCGATTCCCTTAATTGTCCGTCGGTCTTCGTTGTCCGGTATCTTTACATTCATTGTTAGAGAACTAGTGACCCGTAAATTGTATTATCTAGCGGTTTAATCGCATTCTTTTATCATATATGTATTGTATATGTTATCTCGTATATGTACGCAAACTTATTCATTTTTTGAAAATGTATTTTTGTAACTTTGATTTTCACGCAGTAGTGCGATTATCTGGTACTGGTAGATATTTCTTATGTATTTATTGTCATTTTTGTCACCTCAATAATTGTACATATCTGGTTGAAAATCTATAGTGGTACCGTTGGAGAGCATATGTTCAGCGCTTAAGCTTGGTACTTACATTTCCCCTACTGGTTTAGCACTTGGTTGGTTATTCGGGTTTTCCTTATTTTGTTTAGTTCTCCAGTATATATCATTGGGCAAGTTGTTCTCTCCGAGGTCCGCGCACTGGGTGGTCATTCGAAAATCAGGTTACGAAAATCTAGGACTGACCTTCTCTGGTTGTTTGGAGCTTTACTCGTTAGCTTGGCTTTTTCATACTCCGTTTTTTTAGTAATCCGTGTTTTTTTCCGTGATTGGCTACTTTTGGTCAAATACCTATTGGCAATTTGGAGTCAAGTTACTCTTTTGATACAGTACCTTTCTCAACGATTGTGAGTCTAGCTACTCTTTTAGGTCAAGTACCTTGCATATTTGGTCGGTTTAGAATTTCCTCGCTCAGTCAAAGTGACTTTAGTCTATAACACTTTTTTGCTATTCAGGCGTTGTTCGTCTATAGTATTGTCCAAGAGACTTTTTTTAGGGATAGGTCCTCTGTGTTTACTTCTCGCTATTTAACGCAGCCGAGGTTATTGACTCATTAGAACACACATTAACTCCCAGGAGGGTATCTTCCCAAAACGTAGACCTGCCAAAACGCGGACCCATTAAAACAACACTCGTTATGGCTGGTTGCATCAGTAATTAGTACCCTGTACCCTTGATTAAGTAAAATAGTATCACCCAGGGGAGTGGACCAGTCCATTCATTAATTAGGTGTGACCAGGATAGCCCATTTAATTAGTGGGCTAATTTTAACTGTTTTTGGGAGGTCTGCATTTTGGAGGTCTACGTTATGGGAGGGAACCCCCAGGAGTTAATTAGTCGCAGCCGACTTAATTGGCTGTCTATGCATCTTGTCAATTATCAAGATCCGATAAATATGTAAATGAGGTCACCAGGCAGGAACTAGTTTTATGCTTCATACATCGATGCAATGTCTGCTTGCTCAATAAACTATTGACTGACGCTTCCCTTTGTGCGGTCTTCTATTTAAACAAACATGGATGCACAGGATTTGGCACTATTTGATTGATTGAGTGAGTGAGTTAAAATTTAACCTCGCATCGGCATTATTTCAGCCATACAGCGACGAGAACACGTTGAGATACACACAAGTGAGTCCTGAATACAGTCATATTTAAAACCAAACTTTAATCATATTTTGGCATAACACTATTATTTGATACTATTTAAAACACTGTAACCAAAGCTAGAGACTTACGGTTCCTCAGCTTTCTTCACGATACCCTAGCAACATTTGCGTCATCACTTTAGCTACCTGTAGTTGTGTACAATACTAGCTAATATTTAAAAAAATATGTTCAGCAAGTAGTTGGCTTCAAACACTGGTTAATGATGGTCACATCGATTATGATTGCATGTCACACAGGGTGACACTCTTGGACAGAGCCTTCAATAATGTCAGTTGATAAAACCATCACAACAAATTTAAAAACAAGCAATTAGTTATTCGCATACATATTTAAAACTGATGATTCATATCAATTTCTTTCAGGTAGCTTAGCATCACATGCCCGCTCACACGGAAAACAAGATCTTTCAGATTTACTGTCTGATTCCCTTGCAATTGCAGAATCCACACAGTCAAGCAAATTTTAAGTGAGCGTCTCATCAGTTTAAGTAAAGCAAAGGGGGGCAAACGAGTTACCAAATTACCACTTTTTATGACTAGCAATGGAGGACACATTCTACACCGGGTCCGCACGGGGTTTGGATTTTGTGAAATACCCATACTATTTTCTGTGAAAATGTATATGAGGTAAATAGCGAAAAACATAAGAACTATATACTATCACATATTCATAATAAATATCATAAAGATATCATAAAGATACTGCGGTGGGCTTTCATGGACGTCACAAAATGTCTGGTTAAATGGCAATATGAAAGCGGGGAATGAATAAGTTTAGGATTTGATATCGTTTTCACTGAAGAAGACGAAGAAAAGCTAAAGCATATGTATGTATGTATGTATGTATGTATGTATGTATGTATGTATGTATGTATGTATGTATGTATGTGTGTGTGTGTGTGTGTGTGTGTGAGAGAGAGAGATAGATTGTGTGTGTGTGTGTGTGTGTGTGTGTGTGTGTGTGTGTGTGTGTGTGTGTGTGTGTGTGTGTGTGTGTGTGTGTGTGTGTGTGTGTGTGTGTGTGTGTGTGTGTGAAAAAACTGCGAAACTGAATCTGAAGCTGAATCATCCTTATCACGTGCCCATCCTCAGGAGTAATGCCCTTGGTCATACCGAGGTGTCTGACCTCGGGCAAGGAGATCAGGTATTCCTCTAAATGACTGATTTGTGAATGCTTTGTGGTTGTTATGTTCAATGATTTACAAATGGTTTTGATTGAAACAATTGATATTATTTCATTGTCATTTTTCCAGTGACAGAAGGGAAACGCCATGAATCGGTTCTTGATTATCGTGCTTTTGGTCTCATCAATCCACGATTTTATCGGTAGGACATATCTATTTATAGTTGCTTCAATCCTGCATCCCTTGCAACTCTTGGTTTCTGGTTTCAGCCATCAGGAGAAGGCCGCGATATTGCCCAGTGTGCATACAGTTCACTCACTCCTATTTCAATCAAACCAGGAGTAGATATCCTGTATGTTACATTTACAATGACAAAGTCGATAGAAACGTTTAATAAATATGCTGAAGACAGTTCGCATTATCTCAAACTACACGTGTCTCTTTTTGTAAAAGATATAGCTAGGATAAATTCTTTTTAAGATATTTCTCAATGAGCGATGCGCTCGAACATCTTTCAAAATTCAGGTAATTCAGAATTTAATTTATCAAAACCTAGTTTGGGGTTACATTATAAGCTAAATTGTATGTGTTCGTAAGTATGGTTACCTTGCATCAAATCTAGTTTCTGTGTTGGGTAGCGGCGGAGTGTCACTGTAACACCACTAGTGCCTGCACCGTGTTCCCCTCTACCCCTTGTAGCCAGGTGGGCAGTGCAGACAGATGTCAGGAGGGGTGGTTTGGTCCGTACTGTCAGAAACGTGAGTTCGTCAAATATTGAAAGTGTAGTTTGACCAGAATTTGTTGAGAATTTTTCTTACCATTTTGGCCATGAATATTGACCATATCAAAGGTATATGTAGAACTTATTCTGGCTTTGATTCAAGGGAGACAACTCCGTTTGTCATATTTGTAAAGTATGACATGAGTTGGATCTTGACATCTATGATCGATGACATAAAAAGTCTATAGTTTACAATGTTCGCATTCTCAGTAGTTTCTGGTCAAACTGTACACGAGTATATTATATTTCAATATATTTTTGTCCTTCTTTATTTCACATACATGTGTACTATTATTTTTGTAGACATATTGCATATGTTGTTTGGATAATACTCCTATGAGATACATGTGATGTGATTATGGAAGGGGTTTATCGCTTCTATTTATTACCATGGGAATGTATTCTCAAGTGTATTGGGATCTGCTACATACATAATATTCTCCAGAGATGTTTTTATTTCAATTGATATTGTGTTATACATGAAACTTACGTTTTCTGCAGAAAATGTTGCCAGAGGAAGGCCTGCCAACCAAACAAGTACCTACAGTGAAAACAAATGGTGGCTAGCTCCCAGATATTATTTCAACGCAGAACACGCTGTAGATGGCGGGGTTAATACAAGTTTCAACAGCAAGCCATATACATGTTCTCACACAACGCAACAAATGCTCCCTATGTGGACCGTGTACCTGAACACGTCCAGTACGGACAGGATTCACCACATTAAACTTTATCTGCGTCGTGACTGTGAGTACAGCACTGGACCATGCCTTCTATGTATCTCTCAGTTCAGATGAAGTAAAAACACTGCATAATAATATATATAGAAAGTACACGTGTATTGTACCATTATTTTCATGTTTATTAATTGTTGCTGTGGAAGCTGTAGTTTGATAGGTATCTAGAGATGGGTTATCAGTGGAAGTCTACATGTAACGTTTAAGCACATTGTGATAACGCAACTGAACATAATAAGTAGGTAGATAATGTACGTTTGGTAATATATGCTCCCTTATGTTTTAATTGTTACTGTATGTCACGAGTGTGTGTTTTCATAGTTAGAGCTCGAGACGAAGGCATGCAGATACTTGTGGGTGAACAAATGTGCTACAACTGGTCACAGAATGTCACTCCTCCGTCAGTCGTTGACGTTACCTGTCGACAACCTCTCGCGGGAAACAAGGTCACCATACAAATACCAAGAACAACCTTCATGACTCTGTGTGAGGTGTTGATATTTGGTGAGGAAATGAAAGCACTGTATGTATTCTTCCTACTCTTACTTTTAGGCTGTATTTTATTGTAAGTATTGGGACCTAGAATACAGTAAGTTTCATCTATCAACTATTTGACGCGCATTATTCGTGTTGCAATTTGAACAATGCAAATGTTGTTTACATCGTATATTCTGTTTTGCATCCTTTTTTGTTTAATGCCGCACCTAACAATATTCCGAACTGTATAACACGGGCCAGTACATGATATAATCTGGACCAGACAAACCAGTGATTTTCAAATACGATTGCATGCAATTAAACAAGTCGGCGATCCTGACCAACCCATCTAGTAAGTCGATTCTTACGACAAGCATAGGTTGCTAGGGACATAAGCCTTAGTCGGAATGTCCACGAATGTCGTAAACATAAGCACTACACGTAGATACATTAACAATATCCACTTTGTAACACGTCTTTACCTACCAGGTGTCTAGACGTGAACAGGGATCACGAATGTCCAGACTTCTACGTCGCCGTAATTCGCTATGCAGAGTTGCGTTTCTTTGGCGTGCCAGAATCTTAAACATGGTTTAACATGGGTCATGGTTGTAATCCAAGATTCGCTCTGGTTATGATTCTGGATTTGCCAGCACCATACACGTGCTCGTGAAGCATTCAAGGTCAGACCATTCGACATCAGTAGATAGCTCCGTAAATAAAAAGGAAATTTCTTGTGGACCCCAGATATGTCTTTGTACGTTTCAGTTTGTAGTGACGGCTGGTTTGGAGATGACTGTGAACAAGAGTGTAATTGTCTTAATAGCACAGAAATATGTGACAAGATTACTGGCGCGTGTTCAAGTGGTTGTCGCCCAGGGTTTACTGGTACAGATTGCCAAACACGTATGTATGAAGGAGACCTGCAATTAAGGATATACTATTTCTCTGACCTTTGTTTTTACATTTTAAATCCTTCGTAAGCGTGGTAGCATATATTGGTAAAAGGTTCAAAATCAAACATTCAAGTCGACAATTCCCAGTCCTCAAAGATTTAAAGCATCAATTTTCTTGTGGAGCCCAGATATATCTTTGAACGTTTCAGACTGCAGTGACGGCTGGTTTGGTGACGGCTGTAGAGAACGATGCAATTGTCTCAATAGCACAGAAACATGTGACAAGATTACTGGCGCGTGTTCAAGTGGTTGTCGCCCAGGGTTTACTGGTACAGATTGCCAAACACGTATGTATTAAGGACACCTGCAATTAAGGATATGCTATTTCTCTGACCTTTGTGTTTACATTTTAAATCCTTCGTAAGCGTGGTAGCATATATTGGTAAAAGGTTCAAAATCAAACATTCAAGTCGACAATTCCCTGTCCTCAAAGATTTAAAGCATCAATTTTCTTGTGGAGCCCAGATATATCTTTGAACGTTTCAGTCTGCAGTGACGGCTGGTTTGGTGACGGCTGTAGAGAACGATGCAATTGTCTCAATAGCACAGAAACATGTGACAAGATTACTGGCGCGTGTTCAAGTGGTTGTCGCCCAGGGTTTACTGGTACAGATTGCCAAACACGTATGTATGAAGGACACCTGCAATTTAGGATATACTATTTCTCTGACCTTTGTGTTTACATTTTAAATCCTTCGTAAGCGTGGTAGCATATATTGGTAAAAGGTTCAAAATCAAACATTCAAGTCGACAATTCCCTGTCTTCAAAGAGTTAAAGCATCAATTTTCTTGTGGAGCCCAGATATATCTTTGAACGTTTCAGTCTGCAGTGACGGCTGGTTTGGTGACGGCTGTGGAGAACGATGCAATTGTCTTAATAGCACAGAATCATGTGACAAGATTACTGGCGCGTGTTCAAGTGGTTGTCGCCCAGGGTTTACTGGTACAGATTGCCAAACATGTATGTATTAAGCACGCCTATATTTAAGGGACACATTATATATCTTAGGATTTATTATTCTGTGGTGGCGATTAAGTGGGTCGCTTAATCGGATCTATTTTTGGATATGTCACTCATTAGGATAGAATGTAACCATTTACGATATACACGCGCATATGTTTACTTCATCATAGATACCCGACTCGTGAAGATCCGGGATAGAATAGGTCTTCAGCAATCCATGCTTGCCGTAAAAGGTGACATGCCTGTCGTAAGAGGCGACTAACGGGATCGGGTGGTCAGGCTCGCTGACTTGGTTGATGCATGTCATCGTATCTCAATTGCATGGATCAATGCTCATGATGTCAATCACTAGATTGTCTGGTCAAAACTCGATTATTTACAGACCGCCGTCATATAGCTGGAATATTGCTGAGTGCGGCGCTAAATAACAAAAACAAAACAACAAAAAATAAATACGCGTTTTAGCTATTCTCATCCAATGATTTGCCTTTAATTTGGGAGGTAGACATTCGCCGTTTTTGAAACATTCCGCATATTTCTTTGTAGATTTTGTGCATTTGGCATAATTCTAAATTGTTCTAAATGGATTTTTCCTACTTGCTCAAATTCGAGGTCACTCAACCTAGATTGATAATGCTAATTATTGAATGAGCTAGTGTTTCAATTTGCATGACTTTGTTATTGTCGTCATCACTTTTCGTCGTAGGTAAGAACGGCGATAAATGTAAAAAATCAATCTATCTCTAGTCAATAATTACTTTTATTCGGCAACCCGACTGATCCAGTTTGTGTTACCCAACAAAATCCTTATTGCATGCGTGTCGTCTGTTTAACAATTAGTATGTTTAGGCTGTAGTAATATTTTTTCATACGATACTTAATGTCAGTACGTCCTTATGGTTTCTGTGGTGTAAGATGTGAACGCAACGATGTTCTTTGTCATCTATTGCAATTATGCAATCGCATTCCTAAAATCATGCATTGTCATATTGAATACACAGTGGCATTTTGTAATTCAGGATATACTATATGGGTATGACTGTGGACACCGTTGCAACTCTCTAAACACAGAAGCATGTGACAAGATTAATTGCGAGTGTTCAAGTGATTGTCCTCCAGGTTTCAGTAATACAGATTGCGTAACACGTGTGTACAAGGACAAATAAATTACATGTATTTGGACACTCGATTCACCTCATGTGTGGCAGCATTTGTCTTATTCTGTCAATTTAGGGTACTGGATTCAGCTACTGTAACGGACACAACACATGCGAGTGTCGCCTTTTCGTATTTCCGTTTAGTTGTCACAACCATGAAGATATTGGGTGATTTTACGTTATACATACAAGTTCTGTGTACTTAATTGCGCTCGTTTGCTATTGTCATCCAATACTTTCCAACAAGAAAGTAGTCTCTCGATTTCTTAGATACCCCCGTAAAATAATTATCATTAAACAGGTAATGTGAGGTGAGGTAAAATGGGTTTTAACGTCGGATTCAAGATCATTGCACTTATATAGCGAAGTGCATGCCTCTGTGTGTGTGTGTGTGTGTGTGTGTGTGTGTGTGTGTGTGTGTGTGTGTGTGTGTGTGTGTGTGTGTGGCTGCTTGTACTACTCCGGACTAATACCGATTTCATAGTGTCAGCCAAGTGAGATTCCATGCCACAGTTTAACATGAGTACCCAAATATACAAGTATTCAGACACAGAATAGTGACTCCGAGCTGACCAGTCCTGGTTTTAGTCCTTTAATGGCAAGCGCCATGCAGGGTAACAACAAGTACCATCTTTTAACGCCTTTCGGTCTCCGGGCAGACGCTCTACCACAAGACCACTGAGACGGCCCCATCATTAGACAACCCGACCAACCCAGCAGGTGCGATTCAGGCTATATCATAAGCATATGTTTATCACAATTAGTTAGTGACGATACCAGGCACGCCATGTGTTCACATAAAAACACACACACACACACGGGAACATAATAATTTATGGTCAAAATAGGGAAATGCATCGGACATCACTTTGGTCTCTGATGCGTCAAATGTGGAAATGTCTTCCACCTGTCTACCATAAACGATTTGAAAACTTTATTAAGGCCGTAAAACTTGTGAGGAAGAGTCGTAAGACGCTCTTTTAATCTTCGTAGAAAGAGCGTGCTCGTTAGTACTTCAAAAGTGTTGAAATGGTGACAAGACTTGAGTTGTTTGTATATTGCTCGAAAATAAAAGATAAAGAAACTTACATATATACATTTTGATAAACGCATTTTAAAAGATATTCAAGAAGTCAATGATTTACTGTGAGAACACTGTGTGAAACGCCTCTGCGTAATATACGTTAATAGGTTGTGTAGCTCGCTCCATGGCGAGTCGGATTATGAAAAGCGAATTATGACGTATGACATGGTTTATGTCGGAAATGTAATCCAGTCGGATGGTATCGCATTTATTTTGTTCAATTTGTTCACACTGAAATTTGCTCAGATAATTACTACGGCATCAAAACATATTTGCTGAAGGAACAGGTGTATTTACACATATAAGTGAATATCACCTTAAAAATTACATAACTTTTACCATATACTTTCATCACATTACCAAACTTTCCTGTGTTTTGCCAGGTGAGCAATTGACTTGCTTTTGCATATATTTGTGATATTTGTGCCATCAGTGGGCCTTTCGCAAATACCTGGTCTCATCACTATTCGATAGTTCGTCACCATATGGCTGAAATACTGTCGATGTGACGTTAGATGTTAACTCACTCACTCGCTATTCGTTACGGATTCATAAACACATGTTTATGGTCATCGTCGGAATCGTACAATGAACGATACTTTTAGCAGACAGGTCTTGTGATAATGGAAATCACAAGTTTTGTCGCTGTTTCGTATTTGTTTGTGGTATTTATCCTTTTATGTAAGTATAGGCTTATTAAATAACACTTTCCCTCACACCTAACTGTTAGTAATTCTTCCTGAAACTGAACACTGAACCCGAAATATACTCAACAACAAAAGTTCCTGTGACACCAATATTTTCGTGTATTTTTCAAACGAGTAAAGTTTGGTTTTCAATATTGTAGTACATGTATGGAATCAAGTCACAAAAACGCAACTGCTATGAAACGCATGCATTCCACGCAAAAGTGGAAGCCCCATGCATTTCACTACCCAAGAATGGGTATAAAAACATGTGCGTTAACGTGATTCCATATGCATTGTTTAGCATCGTGTTGACAACAACCACTCAGAAAAACAACAAAATAAAGCAATTATTCAATATTACGAAATGCCACGCCTGTCCGAAAATGAGCGTCTGCGAGCCATTGGTATGCTTGAAACAGGATCGAGTCAACGTGATGTTTTAAGACAATTTAACGTCCACAGAAACACTATTTGGTGTTTATGGCAACGTTGGCAACAGACGAATGCAGTCAGAGACCATCCTCGGAGTGGCAGGCCCCGGGGAACCAATAATCGACAAGACAACTGGATTCGAACAACACACCTACGAAATCGATTCCAGCCAGCCAGCCAGCCACAGTGACTGCAAGAAGCATCCCTGGCCTTCGACGAATATCTTCACAAACCGTACGTCGTCGCCTCAGATGTGCAGGGATTGTGGCCATAGGACCCGCCAGACGTCCCATTTTGACAGGAAACCACCGTCAAGCACGTTTACAGTGGTGCAGACAGCGGCTACGCTGGACGGCCATGCAGTGGGGACCGGTTCTATTCACTGACGAGTCTTGTTTTCACCTCAGCCACAGCGATGGACGGATTCGAGTGTACCGACGTCGAAGTGATCGTTACGTCAATCATTGTGTCATGGAAGAAGATCGGTTCGGGGGCGGCAGCGTTATGGTTTGGGGCAAGACAGAGGACCCGTTTGATAGTGGTAGAATGAAATCTCAATGGACAGCGCTACCACGACGAGATCATCGGCCCTGTTGTTCTACCGGTTTTGCGTCGTCTTGGCCCAGGCATTACCTTTCAACATGACCACGCCCGGCCGTATATTGCTCGACTGGTTCAGGATTCACTTCAACAAAACAACGTGAATGTCATCCCCTGGCCGGCTCGCTCCCCTGATCTCTCACCAATCGAGCACAGGTGGGATGAGATGGATCGACGTCAACCACGTGTTCCACAGACACTCCAGGAACTTCTAAACATGCTCCAGATATTGACAGATATCCCACAGGACTTTGTGCGACACCAGGTCCATTCCATGAGACGAAGATGTGTTGCTTGCATCGCAACCAGAGGTGGACACACACGCTATTGATTTGCAAATTGACATTTTGGTATGTTCATGTTTTTTTATGAAATCACGCATTTTCTGAAGTCAGTATGGCAAATTAAACCATTTGAACACTTACAGGAGTCTTTTATTTGTTGCAAACCGTAATTGTTTCACATTTGGTAAAAAACATAACTTTGCATTAAATCTTATTCAATGTCAAAGGAACTTTTGTTGTTCAGTATATGAAGAATGTATTTGATCATTGTATTATGGAACTATAAAGTCTATAGATATAAACTGAACATTCGGTGTGTGTTGTGAGAGATCAAAAAGAGCTAGAGGTATAAACTATACTTTGTTTAGACTGCGAATGTACGATGACATCTCATAGTGTATGATTTTCATTAGAAAAGCCTGCTGGTGTTTGTTGTAAAATATAGTGTTTTTCAGTAGGCCGAGAGTGTTACGCATACAGTACCTCGAGAAACACAGTAATTAATGCATGTTCAATGTACCTACAATTTAATGAGGTCACCTCTTAAAGTTGTAATACCCGTGCTCGTGGGTTTCACCGAAGTGGTAAACATCTGAGACCTGCATCACTTCGGGCTTTCCTCCCACATTAAGCTGACACGCCGCGATATAACTTGAATATGGTTACAAGCGGTGCTAAACCCAACTCACTCACTCACATAATGTTGTAACATGGTATATAGGTAAAGGAAGTAGGAGTTTCTCGATTCGGAAATAGTGTCATTCAACGAGGATACAGAAACGTATAGTCTCCTTGATTTATTACATACGGGCCTTTAAGTGGTGATATAATGGACACTATATTATTTTGTCTTCGGTGACGTTCAATTCACTGAACAAACAATCGTTGAGCCCTTGGTACCCTAAAGTAAAGTAAACATCAGTCTTTTCATGTATATGCACGTGTAGATTGGATGGTGACCTACTATGTATCATTTGGTCCTTGTCTGCAAGAGCTGCTTAACATATTTGACTAAACTTTTGAAAATTACTACTTTTTCATATTCACAACTCTATCAAATATTATTGCATATGTTTCAGCATGTAATGTCGGAATGTATGGCGTAAACTGTACGTCAGAATGCCGGCATTGTCTGAACTCTAAATGTGACAACAGGGACGGAACCTGCATTGACGGCTGTATTGGAAATTTTTCAATGCCATTTTGTCAGGGTAAATTCAATTAATCAATTTCGTTGCAGATAAACCCTTTCACACCAACATTTAATTTAGAATAATTATGACATGTGATGTTCCTCGTCATATCCCTCTGTCTTCACATCCGATCGTCTTATACAGACTCCCTGGTTTCACGAAGGAGTAAATGCCTACGTCTCGTAAGGCCTCATTGGAATTTTCTTTGACATTTAGATGTCAGCTTGTAATGTAATCGAAATACTGGTCAAAATTCTGATTAATACCAACTGACAGACTTCAAGTTCCGCAAAATGTATTGTACATATACAACTTCATGTACTCTTTTGAAAATCTACATTTCACAATTAAACATTTAAAGGTCAGCTGATTGTATTTACAGACTGCCTCTCAACTCACTACGGAGAAGCATGTAATGAAACATGTGGCAAGTGTCAGGGTAATACTCCATGTGAGAGATTGTCTGGAGAGTGTTCTGAGGGTTGTTTATCGGGCTATGACCAAACAGATCTTCTCTGTCGGACGGGTGAGTACTCTAAAACGATGATTGCTTTGCATGCAAAAAGGGATCAACTCCTTCCTCACCTTCTTTTGAATGTCAAAATGTTTTGGATACACATATGTTCAATGCAGTGCAATTGCCTCCATCAAGTCGTATGCACTTCCAGTTGAAAGATGTGCCTTCCGGTTGGAGACATGTACTAATCAGAACCACGTGCACAGGAAGCCTCGTGCCACTAGTTACCTTGAATAGAATGTTATCATGTACTTTAGTTTTAATGATCTTTCAGACAATCACATGATTGATTATTTCAAGTACCTGCTTTTAAAACATCTAATGCAAACACAGGATTGGTCCAGTACACACGGGAGCAGAACTACCTTAAGAATGATCATTCAAGTGAACCTTTATCTTCAAAAAAAGTCGCTCAAGAGTTTACCACATTCAATGCACCACCATAACATATGGAACATATGTACCAGATATCATATAAGAATGGACAGTCAGAACCTTGAGTTATCATGAACATTCTAACATGTTGAAGTGAATTTGCCCTTCGCTATTAGCGACAATTATTTCAAGAACATCTCAAAGGCCTATCTAGCATATAAATCAAATATGATGTCCCTTGGTGGAATTAATGTGACAACGAAATATTATTATCACTAATATATATTAAGTATTCAATTGGTATAACAATTGATAATATTTAAAAATATTTTAATATATATGCAGAAAAAGGCATTTAGGTGAAAATGTAAAGCATCCTTTTCGAATGACTATCATTATGACCTTGACTTTGTACACACATCACTCATGACGTCGTAGGATCTCGAACCCGCTTTACGGATGGCATGTATTCAGGTTCATTGATCGCCACCCTTCTTGAATTCAGTGGTAACAGTGTTTTTCATGCTATAGTCTAGAGAACGGTACTGACCCGTTACATGCCATATCAGTGTGCCCAACTGATTTCTCTTGGTTATAAATTGTTTATACATGATACAATAATCCTGATATATCCAAGCACCACCTGGTTTCAAACAATATTTTTGAGATTGTGTATGCTGCACACTGAACGAAGGTCACAATGTCCTACTTCGTATATCTTGTCTTCAATTGCCATAGATAAGTTTTCAAACAGTATAGCTACCCCATGCACAGAAACAAACAATATTTTTACTGAAAATACGCATACATTATGAATGGCATTCACTTTGATCTTGACCTTACAGAATGCGAAAACCTTAAAGCATGATTGCGTCATGAACGTTCGGCATAGTAATCATATTAAAAACAGTTATTATATATTTTCTAGACGCTCAATCACAGTCTCCTGTTGCTGTGATCCCGATGGTTGGAGGAGGAATAGCAGTAATGTTGGTCATCGCTGCTTTTGTAGCAGCAGTCGTCATCTACAGAAGAAGACGGTATGCTAGTCCAATTTCCAGTTATAGAAATTATTGAATAAGAAATAAGAAAATATTTTGAACTGAGAATCAGACTATGTGAATTATCCATACTTAAGTGACTGGTTAACTAAATTAGTGTTCAAATTTTATATGTGCTACAACATATTTAGTGATGTAGCATAATATAGATCTCTATTAACATATCTTGCGCAGTAGACTCTGCTTTTTAGAGATGTGCGTTATGTTTATGGACAGGGTTTTGACATAATAATTACATTTCTATAAAAAAACCCAACAAATTTCCATATTAATTTAAGGAGAATAACTGAAGACACAGGAGAACCAGAAATACATAATAGCGAGCGTCTGCACTCTCAATATGACGTGATTACAATGGTGGAAAGTTCAACTTCTGGTAAATATTCAGTATTCAGTATTTGGTATATTAATGCCATTAGGATGATTTTAAATCGCTTCACTCAACAGCCAAACTGAAATGACTGAAATGTCAGTAAGTGTAACGAACGCGGTTTGGGTGAAATCAATAATATACTTAATATTCACGAGTAGCCATAGGACGCACCAAGGGTCACAACGGGGTCAAAACAAGAATTCAGACCGACGACCAGTAAATCGTTGAACGAATATATATTTTTAAAGTCATAATCAAATGTCTTTTAAAGTTGTACGTCAACATATTGCTAAAAGCAATCATTGTGAGGTCTAGATATATAAGTGTATATACTAACACTTCCAACCATTAAACAGGGCAATGCAGTCACACATCATCAATGATACACCCATAGTTATCTGATACGAAATAGGTCATTATCCCGTGGCCCCACCTGCACATGTTAAACTTCATAATTTACAACAAATGTCTAATGAATAGGACAAGCAGAGAAAATTACACTGATTTTCACATGGACTTCCTGTGAACGCTTTTCTGGAGTAAATGTTGATCGTTGCTTTTAAATATTCCTTACTTGGATTGGTCATTTAAGCTTATAACCAGTTTTTAATCATTTGATTTAAATCATACGTGCAATACTTTTTGTAAAAGGTCATGCCTGTGTAACAGTATTAGTAAAATACAAGTTCCTTCACACAGACTGAAAGTTGAGTGCTGAAACAAGAATTTGAACCAAACACATACTGAAAGTTTACCAGTTTCAGAGTATTATTTCAAGACCCAATTTAAAATCTGATTTAGTGGCAATTTTTAATGTCATCCATTCAAAACTTCACCCATGATATTATTGCAATACAGGCGAACAATCGCATGAACATGTATATGAGCAACTCCTGGATGATGGGCATGCTGGGGCATTGTATGAACCTCCGCTGGATCATGGATCTGGTAAGGTATTACCAAGACCTCTACTTGGTGATGACCCTTCTTGGGCAAACTCAGGACCTCTACTAGATGCTGATGACGAGGACGCCATGTTTTCTGTGGAAACTGATGTAGACGTAGATACCGAGGCAGCTGCTACTTACTACAACTGGATACCTCCTCATATGATGCTGGATAAACTGCCCCAGTGCATCATGGATAAAAAGAAGAAATCATTTGAAGTAGAATTCCAGGTTTGTTAAGACGGTGATATATACAAGATAACCTGTTTACTCGTTTTAGACAATATGTGTATCGATGTATTTTATGCTGCTATTGTTTTGTCCATCTAGGCACGCCAAATATGATATACATTTATTTAATCTTTTGCTACATCGAAATCAGCAACATTCCAGCTTGGCAATCAACCAAGCCATGTTGACCATTTGATTCATTTAGTCGCATTACGACTCGCACAGGATATCGGAGATCAATACGCGCGAGAAACTTGAGACAACACAATATAGTTACATAGCTTTACTCTGACAACTTTTAGGCCATTCCTTATGGGGCAAGGCGATCCCATGTGGTTGGAAAGAGACCAGAAAACAAGAAGAAGAACCGCTTTGTCGCCCTGTATTCTTGTAAGTTTGTTTGTTTGTTTGTTTAACGCCGCACTCAGCAGTATTCCAGCTATATGACTTCTGCTTGTAAATAATCTAATCTGGACCAGACAATCCAGTGAATGATATCATGAGCATCGACCCACGCAATTGGGATCGATGACATGCATCTACCCAGTCAGCGAGCCTGACCACCTGATCCCGTTAGTCGCCTCTTACTATTCGTTAAGTAAAAACAATTGGCATTCTAGTTTCTAATTAATATACTGCAAAAACACACAAGCCTTCACACGAACCTGAAATTTAAGGTCTTATGGCTATCGTAACATAAATATACATGTTAGTAGTTTGCAAACAGATGATATTTGCATTTACAGATGATCACTCGAGAGTGGTGCTGACGGAAGGGGCTGACGACTATATCAACGCTAACTACATCAAAGTTAGTCTCATATCTGTTCTTACAAAATTATACATAACTGTAAATGAAGGTTATATTGTATTTTTCCTAACTTTGTTTCATGTTCCCTTCAACACGTATCGAGATAGATCAAAGTGTGTATGCTTTGGTGTGGATATTATAGTTCATGATATGAACATTGCGAGTCTCCAGATAAAAGATAAGGTCACACATAGTTCCCAGCATGTATATTCATTTGGACTGAAGAAATGTGTTACAGTATTCTTTAACATGGCGGTCACTAGTTGAAATCTTAAAGCAAACACTATTATATTGTTTGAGTTTGTATTAATGTTCACAGGGACACGATGACAATCCAAAGTACATAGCAGCACAAGGTACCAAAAACTACTGCACCATGTCTCTGTTTTGCCTTTAAGGGCCAGACCGCCTCCGTGGTCATGTGGTAGAGCGTCCGCCCGGAGAGTGTAATTTCGAGGGTTCGATCCCCGGCCGCGTCATACCAGAAGACGTTAAAATATGGTACTTGTTGTTTCCCTGTCTGGCGCTCGGCATTTAAGGGGCTAAGACAAGGACTGGTCGGCTCGGAGTCAGTATACTGTGCCTGAGTGGGGTATTCATGTTAAAACTGCGGCATGGTATCTCAGTGAGCTAGCACTATAAATCGGCATCAGTCCGGACTAGTACAAGCAGCCACACGTGCATGCACGTCGCTATATAAGTGAAAGTAATCTTGGACGCGACGTTACCCCATTTCACCTCACCTCACCTCACCTTTGAGGGCCTTGTATAAGAATGAATGTATGCTCACATATTACATAATGTATGGAGTCAATTGTCTTTCAATTTAATCAATAGCTTGGGTCGATTTCCATTTAGCAACACATATTGAAGCTAGAACTATGAAAGGGCAGAGGTATATATTGTAGTTGTAATAATGAACTCATATTTTGGTTTGTTACAACCTCTGACCTCTGCCATATGATGGGATGTAATTTCAGGCCCAACACCTGTTACGATCACTGACTTCTGGCAGATGATATGGCAAGAGAATGTCACGGAAATCGTCATGTTGACAAACCTGATGATGAAGAACAAAGTAGGACGTATTTTTGATACATCAAATTAATAATAATAATAAAAAAAACCCGACAAGAATCATAGGGAACCTCTGCTAAAACAGTCGATTGAACAATTCCGACCATATTATGATCATGCGTTTATGAATCACTATCAAATAGTGATGATACTTAGTGTTTACTAAAAGGGTGAGGGCATGCGGCCCAAAAGATGATATCGATCAAAAACACATGCACAGGCAAGTCAACCCTTCACCCGAAAAACACGGGACCATATGGTCAAAATAGGGAATTGCATCAGACATCTTGATGTCACTGATGTGTCAAATGTGGAAATGTCCCCTCGACATGTCTGCCATAAAACGTGTTGAAAGCTTTACTTGAATAGTGTAAGCTTGATCAAACAACGTTTGAGCAAGAGTCGTATCTTGGTTGGAAGAGCATGCTCAAATATACCCCAAAAGGCTGGCGCTGCTGTAACATTGTTCGGCATAAACTATTTCAAAGTTCAGTTCTTATGTTAGACTAAATTAAACTGATACACGCTTTCAGAGGAAAATGAGTTTTCTTTTCATTAGAATTTTGTGGTCATTTGTTCTACATTTCTGTAGAAAAGGTGTGAACAATACTGGCCTGCTGAATACGAGAGTGACTGCTATGGAGACTTCAGCATAACCAACAAGAAGGCAGTCGCGAGAGCTGACTACACCACATCAACCTTTCTGGTTCGAAAATCTGTATGTATATTATATAATATCGATATCATGATATGTGCTTGAAAGTAACGAAATATATAATTCGTATGTATTTTTTGTATTCGCGGGGTATAATCACATATTGTATTGTCAAATATTTACATTATTATATGAAACATATTCAGCTTCCTGTTAGGAATTATATTAATACATGTACATCAGTTCATTATTGGTCCTACACGCAGACTGAAGAGAGAGTAGTGAGACATTTTCACTTCACCTCTTGGCCAGACCATGGTGTCCCCTCCGCCCCAGCCCTCGTCAGCTTCTGGAGAATGGTCAAACAGGAAGGCGCGAAAGGCAGACCCATGGTCATTCATTGCAGGTAGACGTGAAGATCCGGCTTACAATAGGTCTTCAGCAACCCAGGCTTGCTGTAAAAACGACTCTGCTTGTCGTTAGCGGCGACTAACGGGATCGGGTGGTCAGGATCGCTGACTTGGTTGATGCATGTCAATGATCCCAGTTGCGTGGATCGATGTTCATGATGTCAATCACTGGATTGTCTGGCCCAGACTCGATTATTTACAGACCGTCGTCATATAGCTGGAATATTGCTGAGTGCGGTGTTAAACAACAAACAAACAAACAAATGATAGTGATTTATAAACAAATGCTCACGATAAAGTCGGAATTGTACGTTTGATAATTGGCAGAGATTTCTTATGAATATGGAAAGGGTTTTGTCACTTTTATTTATATGCAGCGATCTTCTTCTTCATCAGCGCAGGTGTTGGCCGGACAGGGACATTCATTGCTCTTGATCATCTGATGGAGGAGGCTGAGAATGAAAACAAAGTCAACGTGTTTATGTGTGTTGGCAAGATGAGAGAAGACCGGATGAACATGGTCCAAACAGTGGTGAGAATGTTGCAATCATTACGTATATCCATGTTATAGTCTGATGTAGCCTCTCAATGAGCATACAAACGATTTTGACCTTACCTGACCTCTTATGCACCTTTTATTTGTTGCAGCTTTAATCAAAGGCAACAAGTTTGAATAGTGGTTAATGAGGGGATGGATCATTTCCGGAATATGAACTCATATTTCTTCATGCCACTTGCAGACCTCAGAAATGCTGAATTTGTGCCTTTTTCGAATCCTATTCAGTGTTGTACTTTACTTTATTATTGCGTTTTCAAGGTAACAGGTTCTGCATTTCTCCATTTAATATGCCACGGTTTCTATTGTTCTCAGAGAAGTGAAAGAATGTATCTTTACCGTACAAGGATTGCAGGTATAAGGGTGAATTGTCCTTATATAAATTGTAGCATTAATTATGCATATTATGTTCCTTCACTCTCGAATGACGAAATACAATAAAGCCTTAAATAGATCGAGCTTTTTGAAGTTTGAACCTTTTGCCATTATCTGCCAGAGCCAGTATGAGTTCGTGCACGATGTTGTGTTGGAAGCAATTCGTAGTCGGGGAACGTTCTTCACGTCACCGGAGTTCGAAAAGGAATTTGGTCAAGGGGAGACCTTTACTGAACCACAGGAAACCAAACTGAGAAAACAGTTTCAGGTAGGTTAGTTCTCCATATGTGTTTGTTAGTGTAATCTGTAAGAATAAATACAGTTCAAGTTGGTGGAATGTTACGTCACTTAATGGCTATTCTCAAGTAGTTGGTTATACACATATTCATTGACACGCATGTTGGGAAATCTTACCTGGACGTCCAGAAGGTCGTGATGAACGCTGTTATAAAGGAGTATACCATCCACTTCATTTCATCAATTGATAAGTACTGATCACAGACTTGACATCTGACCGTGATATACTATATACTATATATACACACCACGTCGTTGCTTAAATGTTTCTGTGTATATTTAACCTTGTTATCTAACACAAGGAAGTCTTCACAAAAGATAATTGACGAGGTAAAAATTATGTTTGTCTTCAGTTACTGCAAGAAAGTACATCCAGGCTGTCAGAGGAGACAGTGTCGACAGCTCTTCTACCTCAGAATGCTGCTAAAAACAGGAGCCGAACTATTCTTCCAGGTACCATAACACGCGATGGAATATATTCATATTTCTATGCCTGTTCTAAGAGACTGCCTCCGTGGTCTTGTGGTAGAGCGTCCGCTCGGAGAGCTGAAAGTCCGGGGTTCGATTCCCGGCCGCGTCATACCAAAATACGTTAAAATATGGTACTTCTTGTTACCCTGCCTGGCGCTCGGCATTAAGGGGCTAAAACAAGGACTGATCTGCTTGTTCCTCAGTGGGCTAGCATTATAAAATCGGTATCAGTCCGGACCAGTACAAGCAGCCACACGCACAAACACGTGCATGTACGTCGCTATTTAAGTGCAATAATCTTGGACGCGATGTTAAGTCCCATTTCACCTCACCTCCTGTTCTCGGCATTATGGCTGGAAGGGATAATACAATGACCAATAGATGGCCAAAGACTATGTTACGTACAGTTCATCGTCAGTTATCACCTACTAAGTGTCCTCCATGCTGAACGTTTATGTATTTCTTGCGAATCAAAACAGCAAGATGAGGACCAGAGAGGCCAACACTGGCTGTAAAAAGTACAAACATTTGGCTTCACGGCTCCAAGAGTTCACGAGAGAGCTAGCACAGAAGACAATAAGAAACTGTACATGTTCGTGCTTTTCTGGATTATTTATCTTGTGATTAATAATACGGTTTATCTGTTGCAGGAAACAAGACGAGGCCTCATCTGACCACACGGGTTCACCAGCGCAATAACTACATTAATGCTGTAGTTTTGTCTGTATGTATAAGGGACACGGGTGGCCCAGTCGTCTAAGGCGCCGCTATTCGCTGTACAGAGTTGCGTCCCTTGGGCACGCCAGAAAACTACGATTGTGGGTTCTAATCCCGGTTCGCCCCGATTATGTTTCTAGGTTTGTCAGCACCATACCCGTGCTCGTCGGTTTCACTGAAGTGGTAAACTTCTGAGACCTGCATCACTTCAGGCTTTCCTCCCACTGGAATACTGTTAAAAGCGGCGTTAAACCAAACTCACTCACTGGCTCACTCTGTATGTATAACCTCTGCATGTACACATATATACATGTCAAACACACTGTACCCAATGTATTTGAAATATATGCATTGCATATATATACCTTACTGTATTTTACAAGGAGTGTGGTAGCTCAAGGCTAACAACTATTAATGCCTTATGTTTTCGATTATTTGACTTTTCACATTGGGTATGTGGGGAACACCTATTGATATCGAGAAATACTCTTCGATATTTGCGGAAATGGAATTGACAATACCACATAAATGTTCATGTTTGCTACTGCAGTCTATACTCCGGCCCAGCAGCCTGATAGTCACCCAGACGCCCCTGCCAGACACCGTGGTGGACTTCTGGAGACTGGTGTACGACCATGACTGCTGCACAGTTATCTGCCTGGATGACTCTAAGGTTACGTTAATCGTTAACTTCAGAGTTATTATTTGTTTGTTTGTTTGCTGTTTAACACCGCAGTTATTGTTTGTTTGTTTGTTGTTTAACACCGCACTCTGCAATATTCCGACTATATGACGGCGGTCTGTAAATAATCGAGTCTGGACCAGACAATCCAGTGATTGGCATCATGGGCATTGATCCACGCCATTGTGTTCTTACTTCACCTATCACTAAGCCAAAGAACAAATAGCAAAAAATATATATATTTTAAGTGAGTTAATGTTTCATACCACTTTCCTCTATCACTTCTTCTTTCGTTGAAATCTAACCATAATGATTAGTATTCAGTTATTCTTTTTTCCCTACCGTTACAAGAAATTATATAGACGTATAAATGTCGGATCTCAGCAATATTACTTCTATATGACGGTGGTCTGCAAAAAAACGAGTCTGGACCAGACAATGCAGTGATTAATATCATGAGCATCGATCCACGCAATAGGGATCGATGACATGCATCAACCAAGTCAGCGAGCCTGACCACCCGATCCCGTTAGTCGCCTTTATGACAAGCATAGTCGCCTTTTACGGCAAGCATGGGTTACTGAAGACCTATTCTACCCCGGATCTCTGTGTGAAGTGTGACCAGACAATGTGTAGCTATTAGTGAAATGTTCCCTTAAAACATACAATGTATGCAAATAGAAACGGTCTTGTTTGTTAGTGTGAGAAGTCAATCTAAAACTATGCTTGTGTTTATTCTAGGAGGTAGAGAACGTGTACCCTAAAGAAAACCAAAACTTCAAGAAAGGACCGTTCACTATTGTACTTGAGAAGGAGAATTCAAACAGGGAGGATTACAGAGAGAGAAGCCTGACCGTTCTGCATGACAAGGAGGTCAGTTATGCCTGGGATTTATATTTAGCAGTGCATACTATTGACACATAATCCATAATAAACTTCAAATGTTGCCATGTGTTAACCAAACTAACAGTTCCACAAACTGACATTTTCAGTTGTTTCATCAATCAAATAATCAATTTATGTGACGGATGGTTGACTTAATTCACTAGCACGGACATTTCTTGAATATGTCTTCACTTTGAATTGATTACATGAGCTAATAATTGAAGTTACTTTACGAACTGAATACCACCGAAATAAGGATATATCTAAACATGACTAACAATAGCCGTTGATATTCAGTAGATCGTATGTTAGTACTACTGTAAACTAAGAATTAAGACGTTGTTCAAACATCATGGTCACATAATGACACTGGATGCATCCTGTAATCTAGGGTTGTGAGCGATCCGTCGTCGTGTTCAGTCTCAAGTCTCTGGACATGATGTCCCACCCTGCCACACTACTGGAGCTGGTCAACAGCGTGCACATGGTCATCACTTCCGCCGATCACAAAGTCCTTGTCCACTGCCAGTATGTTCCACACACTCAAATACATAGCCCTGACAGATTAATGTGTATGGATTGCTGTTGTAACACGTTGAATATTCCATGTAATATCTTTAGGTTTGATGGTCTGTATGACGGTTTATATTGAATGTATCATTTGACCGTGTCGTTCTTTGATGTTCCCCACATAATATTTCATACTTGTACTCTTAGGGAGCTTTTCGAAGCGCGAAATAGTCAAAATAGCGCACATCAAACCCTTCGGTAACGTTAAATGAAATCATTTACATTATTTGGACGATTAGCTTCAGTAGAATGCATACAGCTGAGTTACCAGCATGCTAAATACATACAAGATTAATCATGGTCAGCTGTGTGGTGTGAGAGGGAATTTATATGAACTAGGCAAAGGACACCTTTCTTCAATTCATTCTTTCTCACATTTGTTTGTGTGTTGGACATGACAGTGACGGCGCCAGTGTGAGCGGCGTGTTCTGCAGTGTCCTCAACATCATCAGCAGACTGAGGCTGGACAGAGACGGGGACATCTTCCTCTCCATCAGGGAACTGCAATGTGTCAGACCTCAGTTCATACAGTCCTTTGTGAGTATTTGAAGCGCAATTCTGTAATAACAGAACCTGTGGAAACTGATAATACCTTACATTCCATTTTCCATACTATATATGTACTATATATGTTGTATGGTCAGAGTTATAGCGAAGTACTGCTCACATAAATGTTCTGTAGAAGAGAAGGTGTCTGTTTGATTTAATGCGTGTCTCTCATTAGATGTTATTACCCAATATGAAACTTGAAAACAGCTCACACTATTGCAAATGAGGAGCCACGATTGGGAAACAATTGTCACATTGCAGTGGCTAAAACAACTGGAACTTATTTAATGTACTATATGTCTATATGTACTCAATACAGCTCAATGCAGCGACCAAAGCAAATAATTGTGGCCAAACAAACAAATACCTTCATGTACAAACTGTGTAAGGGATTTGTTGTGTAATGGAGTGATTGATTGATATTTTGAACAACGTCCCACGCCGTTGGGATACGATGACCCGCAATCAACTAAGTCAATATTCCTGAGGGGGCGGTCGGGTAGCCAAGTGGTGAAAGCGTTCGCTCGTCACGCCGTAGACCCGGGTTCAATTCCCGACATGGGTACAATGTGTGAAGGCCATTTCTGGTGTCCCCCGCCGTGATATTGCTGGAATATTGCTAAAAGTGGCGTAAAACCATACCCACTCACTCACTATTCCTGACCTCTCCCTTCATTTAGTTGTCTATTACGACAAGGACATTTTTCTTGGGACCTTACCCGGAATCCTGCTGGGAATAAATTACCCACAAATATAAGTCGTACTATCTGTGTTTCGAGTTATGATAGCAGGAATTATTATTTACAAATGTTACTTTCAGGAGGATTACCAACTGTGTTACAGCATCGTGAAGGAATACAACCGCGACGCCAGCTTCTACGCCAACGTGTGACGAGTACGACAACGTACGACGAGTACGACAACGTACTAGTATGTGCCATGACATTTTCCGACCGCTTGAACATGACGATCGCCCTCCTACAAGATTGCATGCCGATCTTATCCACAGTACGAAGTGTTAAAAACTATGTCTGTTTTATGGTTGATCAAACTTAAGGAAAGTTTTATTTCTCTACAATCGTGTGAAAAACAATGCAACGACTGTTTGAAGAGGTGAACTACATTTGTTGTATATTTGATTACATTTAATGTGTTTTTTTTTATTCCTCTGTAAACAAAGTAATAATATCGTGTAAACATCACGATAAATGTTATTACAAGAGCAAGCCTAATGTCAGCCTCGTTGGTCAAAATTCATTTAATGTCCCTGTGAATATATTTTTAATGGACATGTGTCGCGTATTGTTTTGTAGGTAGCACGTACTTCACCCCACCCAACATGTATACCATGCAAAACATTGATGTTACATATAAGTTTTTTAGTCCAGACAAGATTTTCCACGTCATTGTATATAGTACTGTATATCATAGTGAAGACAAGGATTTTTTACTCTACTCCTCCACCACTGTCATCAAAGGTTAAATATACCCTCCACTACTCTCTATGATTCACTTGTTTCTCCATGAAATCACAGAGCACATAATATGTATCGATGTTTACATGCAATTAAAATGTATATATAAGGCGTCTTACTTTGTTGGGAAGTATTGCTCCATATTCCAAAAGAACGTATACATCGACTAAGACTAAAATTGTACATATGTCACTGGAAATGTATTCTAAAGCCCAATTATTTATGGTACGATTCGTCCCAAGACAATTTTATGGCACTTTGGGCGAATTAACATCACTCAAACACATCTGTGGTCATAACTGTCACTTGTCACGTACATAAAACAGATGATGATGTTCTGTCAACTAAGCGTGTTGGGCGCTTCCATATCACTTAAGTAATGTAATCAATATATTGTGTGACCTCTTCGGGCGCCCAGGCAAACACGACACTTCGTCGATTTACGTAAACCTCCTGATGACGTTATTGGTCATTGGGTATGCGGTTACACTCATTTAGGAATAATCTTTTAAATTTGAAGTTTAAACGATATACGGCTTTTCCATTGGACGAGAGGTCGGTCACATGACCGCGAAATTGACGTTCATAAGTGTATGAACGACACAATTTGACGTTCATACGTTTTTCACGAGACCGTGTTCTTGAAATGACGTAAACACTGACGGATTACTTCCACATTCCTGGGGAAAACCCTGGGAATTCCCTAGCACGAAAACGAACATAAGCGTTCTTTCTGATTATTTAGAACATTTATTCTTGGTCTCAGCGTTTCAGTATACATTGAGAAATGTCAGAGAGCGTGACTGCATGGTTATTCACGAATATCCTCGCTACGGCCCATCCTAATGAACAAACGAAGAAATGCACATCCAAACTATCTTAGTGTCGACTCGATCCGTGTCTAGGCTGACATTGACCGTCTCCAGCTATCTCTAAATTTACCTTTATGTCTGTTTGACGCGTCTTTATTCACCTTTCAATGATTGGCCAATTGATCAATGATGACTAACACATGTAACAGCCACAGGTTCATTAACAACTTCGGAAATCTCTCCCGTCACGTTTATCGTGTCGGCCATTTTGACGTCTTGTACTTTATGTAAATGTATTACGACGCGCGGTCATTGTGACTGACTTACTGAGGTAGTTCTTTACAGACCTTTCTCATCTAATGAGGATATGATTTGAACACATGTGCTGTGTAAGATGTTTTTGAAGAGCAAGTTGTGCATCCATACGCCCATGTCACCTCTCTTTTTGAGGAACTATTTTACTCCGCGATATAGCTGCTTGTTGTATGGCTGTCAGTGTAAACATGAAGTCACACGTACTAAATAAAATTGTTTTTAGATCTTGGCCTACAACCTTTGAGGTAAGAAATTGTGATTAAAAAATTATAAGAATTGACTTTCACTTTGTGCGAGTTCATTGGAGTATGAACCTTCATAGAGTGAGGGCCAAACTGTATGAACGTCGGAGCTTGCGATGTCATTCGCTTGAAATACAAGTTGCACCCAGTAAAGTTAGCATTGGAATTTGAAAGAAATTCAGACCCGGCTCATGCTGAAAATGGATAAATGTTAACGTTCTGTGAACTTTTGGTGTGTGTCATTCTACGACTGCTGATGACGGGGTTTATCGCTGGAGGCGGCGCGGTTGGATTTACTGAGGCACGATAGTGGGGAGCTCGGTGCACGTGATTTCTTTTAGTAGGTCGCACATTCTCTGTTATAGCTTCGAATGAACGCTTCATTTCGGTGACCCGATATACACATGATCTGTCTGACTTCATAACTTGCATCATTCATAGCCTAAATCGATGTCGCTCTCAGTTTTCCCTAATCTTTATAATGTTATTTTTCAATATTCAGTAATGTACATGTACGTTCCAGCTGTACGCTGTTCGGTAGGTTTGGTAGGTTTGGACGGTGTCTTATGCGTTGCCTTAGATGATCCAAGAGATGTTCCACCGGTGAGAGGTCTGGTCAGCGTGACGGTCAGAGAAACACGGGTACAGTATTGACGTTGAGAAAGTCCTGGATTATTCGAGCAGTGTTGGACCTGGCATGTTCCTGTTGGAACATTATCCTTTGTAATTGTCTTCTGAGAAAGGTAAACCGCGGTCATATAGCTGGAATATTGCTGAGTGCGGTGTTAAACAACAAACAAAAAATGAGAAAGGGGAGGACAACAGGACAATGACTTCAGATTTGCATCCCTGTAACGTTGGGCGTTCAAATTTTTACGGAAGATAACAAGACGTGTCTTCCTTTAAACCACAAATCCCGCTCCACACCATGATGCAATCCAAGGCCAATCGTAAACCCCTCTAAAGGAAAACCCGCATCCACTCATCCAGTTGAATCTGCTCTCTGCTGAACGTCGCTGAGCGTCGCAGAGCAGTATCCTCGAACAATCATGTTGCTGCCAACGTCGCACATGTCGTCGAGATCACTGACGTCTATTTCGCCGAAGTTGACGGGGAAAGGGCATTCCAAAGTGGGGTCTGCAGGCCCGAATTCCTGCATCACGTAATCGTCTTGACACTGTGTGTCTGCTGATTGACATTGTCATTTATGATGGTTTGGGATCCAACCGCTTGCTGTCTATACCCACTATATCGCACGTTCGCGAAACCATTATTGTTTCTCCTCCGTTAGTGGCAAGTAATTTTAACTCCCTTCGGGTATGTAGCGAGTACCATGCTTTCCGGTGAGAAAGGCTTTTGTTTATTACGCATTCCGTCAAGGTGTTTTACGGATTTCAATGGATTTCAGTAAATTTCAGTGGATTTCAAGGGATTGCAATGGATAACTGTGAGTTTCTGTTGACTTTATGTTATAAACATCTTGAATATGATGAGCTCGGTTTCTCCGTTCAGAGGTTTCGAAAACATTACACTCAGCAATATTCCAACTATAGGACGGGAGTAGATAATTGAAGTTGGACCAGACCTTTAAAAATCCAGTTTACACCCTTGCAAAACTTGTCGGAAAAATGGAGTTATATTTTAGCTGGACTAACGAGTCTACAATCAAAATCGTGTAACGAAAACGACATCCGGTTCGTTAACTGCTGTGCGGATGTCGGTCGATTGCAGGATTTGCAAAGCATGTGCACCGCCAATTCGGCGTCATCAGATATTTCCAAATCTTTTCATTTTTTTATCGAGGTGCTCACGTGATTTGATGCGCTTCGCGAAGTAAAACACATTTTATCACAATATAGATTTTTATTATCGATCAGGCCCCGGTTGTATCAAAGCCTCATTAACTAATTGATACATTAAACCCTAATGATACATTAAATTCTTAATGAACCATTAGTTAATGGCGTCATTAAAATCGGTTGTATCAAATGTTCATTAGCATATCATTATCTAATGATGCCTTAATGTAAATGTTTTCATTAACCTGTCATTAAATTCTGGGTTTCCCCTAAATATTTCCCACAATTCCCTGACGTAAACGTACACGTTACTTCAGGTCATCTGTCAAAATGGCATCGTATCCACCTAAACCTAGGAATAGAAACAAGAATTTCGACAGCCCCGAAATTCAGCTATGAGCCGAGTTGGTGGAGAAACACATCTCCATACTTAACAGTAAGTTGTGTAGCACAGTTACCCACGAAAGAAAAAGGCTATTTGGGCAGAAAAAAACTTCCAAAGTTAACGTTATCTGTATTTGTCAGCGTACAACAAAAGAAATAAAAACAAAATGGACGAACATGCACCAGACGGCCAAAAGGGAATTCATGATCAGCAACAGACAGCTGGACATGAGGAAGACCGGGGGAGGTCCTTACATTTGCCCCACTTTCCACGACGAGTGAAAAGATAGTGGACATTTACAAGGAATGTACCAGTTTCACTGGACTCACGGGCATGGAATCGCAAGATCTAGTGATGCAAATTGGTATGTCGCCTGCACTCAAACAAATATCGATACACAAACTGTTGTTTGTGTTAAAAGTACTTTACATGATACAACGATCAAGTAGCCTAATCAGCTGCTCGATCATACACGTTGAACAAGGCTGTGGGGAATCGGCTTACATTTAACCAACCTTTTTCACAACTCTTTAAGTGAAATTGCCGCTTGTGACAAAATGCACAGTGCACAGTTACGTTTGTATCTTCAATAATTCTGCAAAGAACTTTATTCGTGTAGAGGTACGGAAGTCGCCGATTTAAATTGCTCTCCCTCGACTTTACATCTGTTAGCACGTGCTTCAGAAGAAAATGTTGGCGATGTCCCTACTCGGGAAGCGTCTGTGTCGAGTTGTTCCAGCTCAAAGATCTACCCAGAAGGAAACACATCTGCATTTCATGCCGACATCAGTACTATCGAACAGTATGTCGTATTAATTATACTGGAATCTTACTTCTTGCAGCAGTGCTTACATACATGTGATACCAAGTCCTTTTCTCTACTCGCCCATCCTTTAGACTGTACCACTCATACTAATTTTGACCTTTAACATACGCGTATACAGCGTAAAATTAACTGTATATATACACACGGAGACTCGCATGACCATCATAATAAAATGATACAAAACAATGTATGTTTTCAGGCCTTTGGTCCAGATAGACAGTGGAGAAATCAAATCGTGTCACCAAGAGAAAGATCAAACAGGATGACATCACTCGACTGCAATAGGAGGTTTTGCTTGAGCAGAAAAAGAAAGTCATCCAGCAAACTATTTACTTTGAACTCATGAACAAGAAGCTCCGATTGGAGTTGGATAGCTTGATGTACCATGAATGAAAAAGACATCCTCATATTTGAAATGTTACTATAGTTCATTAAAAAAATACAATTAGTTTGATAGCGTGCTACACAGTGTTGTGTTGTATATTGAATCGCTCCAGTTGAACGAACGGGAGATAACTAACACTGTCAACGCTAATAAATTGTTATCTATCTTTTACCACATATATTTACAATACAGGTAACCAAACACGTAGTACTTCTGTGTATTGTCGGGTGTTCTTTACGTTTGTTGCTGTAAATAAAGGTGACTAGGTGCGATAAGCCGATCAGTGAACACACGATTTCGACGACATTTATGTTAACCATATTGAACTATATCTTGAATAAACTTGATATCATAGAATCATCACTC